TCTGAAGATCTGGGAGTGAAATGCTTCACTGCTTTGCTGTCTGATTTAGGAGAACTGTTACTGCTTACAGAGGACGGAGGAAGGTGTCTTCTAGGCCTGGTGTCACTAGTGACTCGTGGGAGGACATCTTGTCACCCTCAGTTTCCATTTGTGTGGAGCAGACAGGGTGATGCCTGTCTGCCCATTGAAGGGAGAGCTTCCCACGCTCCAGTTCCGTGAAACGTGCAGTAGCTGAGTTACCTTTGAGGTCTCCATTCTTCTTCCGGATTTGGTTGAATAGGTCAACAAGTGCCGAAGCTCTTGGCAGGGAAGGGTTGATGTGAGCCATTTCCTTCAAGGCTCGGGCAGGGGCTTGCTGCTGGGTTTCCATGGCATGTCTGAAGTTCTTGGTGCCATTCTGGGTGCTTTCAGTGTGCCTTCTCATCCTCATCCATGCACATAGACGAGCTGGCTAATACATCCTTGGCTAACACGTCTCTTCTGGTGTTGTCTGGATGGAACACAACCACACAGGCTGGGCCCTTTCATGGGGAGTCCAGAATGATCTTGTAGGCTTAACGTCCTACTTCCAAGTCCATCAGGTCCTTTGGTCCTGTATTGTGGCACAGCTCTAGGTAAAACCTTACTTTTCCTGGTGGGAGAAGAGCTCCAAGCGATGTTTGGTGTCCCTTCTGCTGTGCCTTTACCTAAGCAGTGAGCAGGTACCGTACCAGATTGGAGCAGGCTGGGGAAGGGGGACATGGACCTGGGGAGGGAAGGAGCAGAGCCAAAGTGGTTGGGTTTTCTGCATGATATTTTTATAGGGGCAAGTTTTTTGTTTTTCTTATAGCTTCATGCAATACATTGAGAAGAAAGAAGCTGGAAATTTGTCCCTACTAAAATGTTTAAAGTAATCTTATATTTTTTTGTAAAAGGTGCTTTTATTCAAAAATTATTATCTAATTATTTATTTAATTATTTAAATTCAAAATTATTGAAATAATTGTTTTCATATAAATCATTGTTTTTCCGTGGGAAAATTGGAGTGGTTGTTCTAGAATAGGTCTAGAAGAGCAGGGAGATTTTGCATTAAATACTTGGAGTCCGGTGTCAAAATTCTGCATAACTGCAAGATTTAGCTGCAGCACATGAAAACCTCTGCTGTGGAAAAATCTCAGAAAGGACCTTTTAGATGATAGCTGTCTTCTCTTCTGACTAGGATTAAGACTCGAAGTTTGGGAGTCATTTGAAGGACACCCCACAGGTTGGTCTAGGGAACTCCTTGTAGGTGCCGTGGTGGAACAGTTGTTAAAGCTGGGGGGTATCTCAGAGGCTCTTGTGTCCTGAGAAGTCCTCTAGCTTTCTGTTGTCTTTCCTTTTCCTCTGGCCCACCTTAGGCTGTGTATGCTGTACATTGAATATTGAGATTTTTACATACAATTGAACGTGAATCCCATCAAGAATCCACTGATGTCTTCAGGCCACTTAAAGCTAGTGGCATTACCATGCTTGGTCTACACCTCTATCAACGCAGCCAACTTCACCCATACTTATCGTCACTGAGAGCAACCACGTAGGTGGTCACCGCGTTTCCGTTTATTGCCTGTGCACTGGAGAAAGTTATCTCCTTTTTCTGCAAATGGGATTTTCAAACTTGCACTGAAGCAGCAGAAAGTATTAACTCTTGAGCTGGCAAAGGGAGCGGGATTAATTAGTTCATGCCTCAAAGAGCTAGCTGTGAAGGTAAAAATTGCAGTGTAAGTGAAACATACGATTATTGCTAATTAAAATGCAAATGTTAGATTTGACAGCTAGTCTCCGAAGGAGGGTGGGTAGCAGTGTTGATGTGCGCAAGCCTCACGGTTCCCAAGAGGGTGCAGAGCTTGGCCAAAAGGATTGGCATGGATGAGAACAGCTGCTGGGAATCAGTCTCTGGAGGGGGTGACGTTTCCCTCCAAGCCCGAAAGAGTGGCTCAGAGGTCCCGTCTCCTGCCGGTGAGTGTAGACCATGAATTGTAGGTGGAGGAGCCCAAAGAAGAGCTGGGAACAAGAGCTCAGGGGTTGTTTGGGGTGTTGGGAGAGACTAGGAGAGTCTTGGTCTTTTGAGGGCACAGCAGAGAGTAACGGGGCCAGGTGATGGGGGATTGGGTTGGCAGGCGACAAGGGCATGGGATGGAGAACTTCGTGCATTTACAACTGTTTCTTCAGCTTTTGTCAGAGCTGCAGACAAATCCGTTCCTTCAACATGCTGAATTAATTTAGCAAGAGCACTGTGTGGGAGACATGTAGGTGGCCACGCTGCGGGATGGAGGGGGAGCAGTGCCGCGTTTCACCGCCGCGGAGCCACAGCTTTCTGCTGAAGTCCAGCTGCCTGTATGGGTTTGGGATGGGGTTTTTATGGTTTTTGCGATGATGCTGATGGAGGGTTTTTGTTGCTCCGTTGTTGTTTTTTAGGGAACGATCGTTACCTGCATACTCTCGCCCGCTCCTCCTGCATCACCCACGAGGTTGGTGTGAGCTTCCCTGCTCCCGCAGCAGCGAGGTCTGCAGAGAGGGTTCATTTTAGCACAAAAGGGCTTTATTAGAGGACACAAAGCCACCAGAAATGTCTGGGAGAGTTTCTGGTGGATGTATTTCTGTTCTGGAGATCTGAACCGCCGACAGTAAGGTGGCAGTTAAAAGTTGTTCATCTTTGGCAATTAATCAGAAATTTAGGTAAAATATTGAGCTTGGCTGTGCTGCTGAGTTTGAACATGAGTGTATTTAGGCCATACTCGGTTGGACTGTTTCAGCTTCAACAGAAGTTTCAACAATTTTTAGTTCAGCAATTTTTATTTTTAAAATAATTTGTTTTTAAATATAAATATTAATAGGGCGTGATAAAGATAAGGAATGTGAAGAGGGAAGAGACCCCAGGCCGTGAGCTAGAGCCAGGAGACAAGCTGATTTAGTGAAAGGGTATCTGTGATCTTTATCTAGCTGGTTCGTACCGTATCTGCTGGCTTGTCTCGGTGAGTTTGGACGTTGATGCATGGTGGTACCAATCTCCCTGTTTCTCACAAGGGTTTTATTGTGGCCAGACGCGTTTCTGGAATTTGCATAACCTCAGGTTGTCTGCAGTCAACCACAACCAAAAGTTGGGTCAACTGAATATAACCAAGTGGTGATGTTTATTTTCAGTGTGTCCTTTAAAGCGAAGGGTGCATATGCTGACCTGGTCCCATTGTAGCACTTGGCACAGAAATTTTTCATACGTGGATGAACAAGACGTTCAGTGTGTAGGATACGGTAAATTGGTAATTAATCCTTCGAACATCTAGGTGGTGAGGGTTCATTTCTCCCAACCACCTTTTCAGTTGGTGCGCATCTTTCCCACCAGTCGAATGAGATACTTCTCACTTCTCAGGATGCCCGCAAGACTGGCTCTTCCCCAAGGCTTCCCAAAGTGGCCACCGGCCCGTGTCTCACAAGTGGCATCGATCAAGTTTTTTTTCCCTCCATGCCAATTTAACAACTCCTTTAACTTTGTGGCACTCGGTATTTCTCAGCCATCGGGAGATTCAGGTCGCAGTGTGGTGAGGAGGGAAGAAGGTGCTTTCTGCTGTTGGTGTAATATCTCGTGGGAATAACCACAACCTCTCACATTTCATCTATATACAACTTGAAAACCAGTTGACCTCCTCTTTTGAAGTCAGTACTGATTTTGAGCTATAGCAACCACAGTATGTTTGAGCTTGCTTGAGACTTGCTAGGTTTGAGGATGGAGAACGTGCCGCTGGAGCAACGCAGAAACCGGTATTGATGCATTTTGCTTCCAGTCCCTCGCATTGGGTAAAGACTTAGATATTTTACATGCGCTAAGGTCCGTGCTGGACCACTGGGTAGCATCACCTTAAGTAGCTTAGGGTCTGCTGTGCGGCTGTCTCTCTGCCCCATCCAACCCAGGTGGCAGTGGTGGAGCTGGGACCTGGTCTGTGCCCCCAAATTAGTGACCTGGACTTGGCTGTTGTGTGCAAAGAGGAGTTCACGCCTTGCTCTACTGGTGAGTCCTTCTGGCTCTTGAAGGCCAAGGTGGCTCTGCTCTTGTCTTAGGCTGTGGCAGTGTCCACAGAGACTCAGGTAGTCCCACAAGGATGTCTGAGACATGAGAAGTCCTCTTTAAGTGTCAGCTCTCACACAAGTCCTGAAACACATGCTCCCCTTTGTATTTCTGAGATTTTCAGAGTACTTGAAAGAGTTGAATATTCTGCAGTCTGTGATTTCATGTTTTTTTAATCATCTTAGGTCACTTCAGAGGTCTTTCCCAAGCCTCTGAGCAAAGCTTTTGGAGCAATTACCCTGACAATATCCACCTTTCTCCCCAAGCACCTTGTGGGATGTTTGGGTAGATAGGGCTGGTCGGGTGAGTTATTCTGGTTTTCAGATGACTCATCTTGCCCTGAGGGCTGCCGGCTGAACAAGAAACCTGCAGGTTGCTTGACAGCAGAACAAGTGTTAGAAGAATAAAGGAAAACATTGGGCATAGCTCCTTAATAGGCAAAAATAGTTATTTGTGTAATGTGTCTTCTGGTGAACTCCAGGTGTTTTCAGGTATGCGAGTAGCTGGATTCCAACGGTGGACTGAGCAGAGGGAAAAACTGACTGAGAAGTTGATTCGGGCTTGGGAGGGGAATTAAGGATAAATAAGCAGTTTTAGAGGATGTGGGGTTGCTGAATATGCATAATTAATCCTCATGAAGTTAGAGGAGGTACTTACCTCTACTTATTTTTCCCCATGCATAGACTAGAGCACTACAGCCAAATCTTACCTTCATTGAAGCCTCCCACAATGTCATCCCTTTGCAATGTGTAAATAGAACATGTTAAAGGACTCCAAGAAGGTCCCATGCATGGGCATGGTTTTGTAGGTGCTTGCACGTGTGGTCTGGGAGCTGGAGCTCTCCTGGCTCACCGGGTCGGTGGTTTTTGTGGGTGCGGGATGGCGTTGCCCTTGGCTAAAGCGAGCTGTTTGTTGTTTCCAGGAAGACTGGGATCACAGCAGCAGTGGGAGTGCAGGATCCCGGCCGGGGTCGGGCTCCAGGTGTGGGTCTGGATCCAGGTCTGGCAGCCGCGGGAGAAGCAGCCAGTTCAGGCAATCGACCAAGGTATACCTGGTAGCGACGTGCTGAAGTCACGTCCTTTGCTTGCTGTTTGTCGGAGGCATCCTCCTAATGGCGTGTTTTGTGTGTGTGTCTACACATAGGGTGTGAGTGCGTGTCAGTTATGATGGACACCTCAGAGACCTACTTAATTCATGCATAATGTGTGACCTGGCTGCTGAGGGCTGTAGCTGTTCTTCAGCCTCAAGAAGTCCGTTGAGGTGTGCCGAGTGCCTAAATATTGGGAAAGAAGTCCCTAGTCAGATGGTTTAGTGCAAAGAAAATTGGGCTTTTTTTGGGAAATTAAGAGATGTCTGTAATTATTTATTGGCAAGTCTTCATTAGAAGTTGGTATGTGAGTGGACACCACATAGATGGTGTTAAATGGTGACCTTGAGTCCAGCTGCTTTCTGTGGGAGCGGTAAGCAGGGCTAGATGGGGACTTACCTTCCTGCCCTGCAAAAGACTAAGAATTTGCATTTGATTTGGTTTACGTCCATTCCTTGAACTCAGACCAGGGACCTCTTCCGCGTGTTTTAGTCAGCCTCTGTCTCCCCCTCGGAGTTGCTCTGCTTTTGCACACGTGAGCATTGGTTGTGCCAGAAATGGAGGACGGACTCTGGGAGATTTGGGGCCAGTGGTTCAAGTCCTGGTCCATTCATCCATCTCATCCGTCCTGGAGAGCTTGAGGAAATAGTCTGTCCTCCTGAGCCATGCTGTGGTGGGAGAGGACCTGCAGAACCATGTCGTTGCTGGAAAGTGATGGTCCTTTCCGGGAGGAGCGAGACTCAACATACCTCTTTTTCTTTGAGCAGGAATAATAATGTCTTCCTCAAAATGTCTATAGATTTCTTATGAAAACTTGCAGTTTTCAACAAGAAAACCTTTAATCAGAGCCTTTTCAGACAGTTCGGTAGCTCTCTCTCTCTTGTTTTCTACCAAAGTGCAGCCAGGGGTTGTAGGCAGCTGAGAAGGGGGAAAGGTGGGGGAATCTTCTCAAAGGCAGAACTGAAAAATGCTTAAGAACTAACACATGACGCAGGATAATCCCTGAATTTATACCACGGACTCAGCCGACCACTTGGCATTGTTCTACATTAATGCTAAACACAGCAATGAGCTAACGCTGTTGCAATTGTGTGACGAAGAGCACGATTTTGTATTTGTAGTGGTTTGCTGGAGGATAGTAATGAGGAGCAGCGAGAGGAACCAGTGGGATGCTGAGCTGGGCTTTGAAAAGCTGCTGCGTGCATGCAAATGCTGACTTTGTGGGGAATTTGCTGAAGCTGCATGCATGGATAAACAGTCAGAGTCCATGCGGCCGGTGGCGTGGTCTGTCCTGTTGTGCGGGCAGCCGCAGGGGTTGGGCGGCGGTGGATGGAGTTGATGTGTGCTCACAGGGGCTGGAGGACAGAGGTTATGGACGTGCATTTAAACCCTACTGGGTGTAGGATCGGCTTTACCGGATCTCTGATCATTCTGGGTATTTATGTTGTTCTTGTCAGTGTGTCTGTCAATCATCATTCCTGGTGGCTTAATTAATTTTCAGCAGTACTAACCCCTTTGCGGTGAAAATGATTATCTAAAGCTGAGGGCTGGGTCATTGGGAGCTTCAGGTTGAAACTGCTTACAGTTATAATTGCAGTCCTGGGGGAACTGACAGCAAGTCACTTCTTTTCGTAAATACATGCAATTTTTTCTTTTGTCCCTGGACTTGAGAATTGGGTTTTTTAAAGTCTTATTATTAAGTCTTGGTACCATGCTGTGACGTTTTAGTAAGTGCCCTGCAGCTCAGGTTCACTGGGGCAGCAAGCACGCTCCCTGCCTTGTGAGTCGAGACAGAAACCGGTTATAAAGACAGGTCATCGAAGATCAAAAGGACGTCTCGAAATGACGGTAGTGACTCACGACTTAATGACAAGTTGCATTATCGTTTGGCCCCGGCGCCGTCTTTATGGAGTCTGGCTAATGCTTGGAGCGTCCCCGAGAGGTCATGGGGACGTCGTCTAGGAGGACCAGGAGCTGCAGCCTGGTTTGGGTGGGAGCATCCAACCGCTGCCTAGAAGCTTGCACCCATCTGCCGTCCTGCACTACCTGAACCATCGCTGCAATTTCCCCTAACTGCTGGGGTCAGTGCCAGGGCTGACCTGCCTATGCTCACCGGTATAGCACCGATGAGCTGATGCGCCGAGGAGATGCGGGGGAGCTGGGTGGGACAGCTTGTGCAGCCTCCGCTTACGCCGCGGATTAGGAGGTGTTGGTGCCAAGGCTCTCCCTCCACATCCGAACAGATTTCAAGCCGAGCATCGGACGGTAATTGCTAGACGCTTTATTTCAGGGCTCAAGAAGGGGCTCTGCAGAAGCCCTGTACCAAGCTGAATTTGGGCAACAACTTTAGGACACAACCTGTTGCATTAGAAACCCACGTTATCTTAAATTTTTGCTGTTTAGTATCTTTGTCGCTGATTTGTCTAAGCCTCATTGCAAGTGGTTACATGTTCCCAGTCTTTCTCCCTGAACCCAAATACATTACTCTTAGGAAATCCCATTGTTGCTGGCTCATTGACAGGTTCTTAAAATATCCCATGTCCATAGGAAATGGAAAGAGAACTGGATCTGCCTGCCAGAAGAGGTATCTCTTCTTTGGATGATAAAGACCTGCACATGTGTATTTTCATTATACTGCATGAGGATGCTTCTAAGGATTTAGAAAACTAGTTTGTCTCCTTGGTGGGAGAAAATTTTGCTTACATTTGCCTAAAATAAAAAGCTCAGCTTCCATAACTGATCATGAGAATTTTATATATTTCTGGTAGTTGGTTTCTGTGCAGAGACATGTTGACCTGCAGATCCCCGGAAGATAAAATCATAGTCCATAGACCCCTTGGAGGAGGCAAAAAAGGGAGCAGTGGGGCTGCGTTTGGAGTATCTGGTGTCTAAATTGGTTGTTGTGGTGGGAAAGGCTGCGAAGTGTGACCATCTGTAGCGTGCACCGAGGATGCGCGTCCTGCTCGTTGGGAGAAGATTGCTCACTTTACGGGTAGATTGAGGTCTGGACTGCGTTAAGAAATGGTCAATTTTTTATGAGTTTTTAGTGTCTCAGTTGTTATTAATAATATTTGACAATGGCAGAAATTATAGGATGGGGACTATATGGAAGCCACCTTTTCCAGCATGTGTTTCACCAGAGTGGGACCATTTGCGCTGAAATAAATAATCTGAATATATGCAAGATGATGAATAATCTGAATATGTGTAAGAAATGTTGGGGCAAAATTGGTAATATGGGATTCCCTATTTGTAGTGCATTTACGTGTCCATCCCATATGAGTCTGAGTCAAATCTGATTTCTTGAATGATCTTGAATGGCAAAATGCAACCTGCTTTACTTCTTCACCTGTAAAGGGTGGAAAGGGCAGCCCTCTTTCTGCAGGCTGATGACTGCAAAGGGGCCATGAAGGCCAAGTGTGAGGTCTTTGCTTTAGATGCTCTTGCTTCACGTCACCGGTTTTGCCAAAAGCAGCTGCACGGGAGAATTCAAGGTGCTTTGCAGTTTGCCGGAGGTTTCTCATAATTCCCACCTGATTATACTGAGATGCTTGTGCTTCTCGGGGAAGGAACCATCACCTTAGTGTTGGTGGGACGTGTACCAGAATAACCGTGTGAACTCATTTGCTGGTGTGCGTGGCAGCGGTGGCACGGTGCAGGGTTCTGACGTCCCCCGCCTGTTATTAGAGCAAGGAGAAGTCATGCCGCCGTGACTCCTTGAAGAAGCAGGACGGCTTTCCCCGTCCTTATTGGTGACAGCAGGGTCTGGTGAAGAGTATCTCCATCCTCGGAGATACTCAAAAGCCATCTGGATGTGGTCTTGGGCACCTGGTTGTAGGTGGCCCTGCTTGAGCAGGAGGGTTGGACCAGATGAGCTTCAGAGGTCCCTTCCCACCTCAACTGGTCTGTGACTCTGAAGTTGAGTGTCTTCATGGCTGGGATGTCAACCTGCCCACTGGACCTTGGTGCGTCTTGGAGGTTGTGGACGGTGGGGTAGGAGGACAGGGCTGGAGTCAGAGCTGAGCCTACGTGTCATCTGCTCCGTGTTGTCCACAGCTTTGTGTCCCCAAGGCTGAAACTGTGTCACTCCTTGCCTTCACGGTGCGCTACGAAAGTAGCGGGCGAGGGGACTCTGCGTTGCAGTGAGCGTGGATTCACATGGGAGTGGAGGAGCTCACGTGCAGAGCCGGGACACCTCCGCGGCTGGCAGCAGGAGAGGCTGTGCCGGGCTGTGCCGTGGTCCGGATAGCGCTGCGTGCCTTCCGGCAAGTAACCGCCTTTCCCTCCCTCCTAGAATGGCAACAAGGAGAGCTCCCTTGACATGCTGGGCACGGACATCTGGGCTGCCAACACCTTTGACTCCTTCAGGTAAGCCGGTTTTAAAACGCTTTGAGAGAGATGGACTGTGCCCTCTCTTAGCCTTTGCCCACATGTCCATCCTGCCGGTACCCAGGCACCGGTGAGTACCCTGCCGGTACTCATGTTGCTGCTCCTCCTCCTCCCCATCCCCATTTAGCCCGCAGCACTACACACAATCGATCTACTTAAAGCATCCTATGTGCTTAGGAGAGGCCGATAGATGGGTTTGCAGTCCAAACATCCAAACCAATACTTGATATAATTACTTGTAATCATCTGAGAGCTGCGCAGGCAGGACTTGAGGCAGTTCTGAGCTACTGCTCCAGGACTTCTTTCTTCCATTAATTGGTGGTGTGATCATGCGTTGGCTTCACAGCTGCTGAGAAGAGCTCTTCAGCTGCTGCTTCAACGCAGGGAAAGTGGTGAAATATGCTTTCTGTCCAGTTTTATGCATATCTCTGTGCCTGGAGCACTGCAAGAGTCTGCAGGGGTTGAGTTCCCACCTGGGACTTGCTCCAGGCTGTTGGAGCGAGCAGGTTTTGCAGGACCAGAGAGAGCATATCCATTGCATGGACCAGACCACTACCTGTTATGATACCCCCTTGATACAGAGAGCAAGTATAGTTAGCAAGGTGTGCGCTGCATCATGCTGCATCGTACATCAAAACTAGGGGCTTAGTGCAAGCAACAGGAGCTCAGCATCTCCAAAAAACCAAAAGAAATTAGAAGAAACATGATGAAGCAGCGTGAAGGCTGGAGGCCCGCATCCATGTGCTCTGCGGCAGGGAGCGGTGCCTCCAGAAGTGCCAACTTTCCTTGTCTGCCGGCTCTGATGTGCCCTCTGCTCTTCAGCTCGGTGGTGTTTAATTAGTAGTGGACTTTCTTTCTTTGTCTTTCCCTGTTTTTCTCTCCTAGTGGTGCGACGTGGGACTTGCAGCCTGAAAAACTAGATTTCACCCAATTTCACAGGAAGCTGCGAAACACCTCCAAACACCCGCTGCCTCAAATAGACAGAGAAGGGTGAGTGCCGTGTGTGCAATACCGTGCTCTTCAGCAAGGTCTCTAACTTCTCCCTTGCAGAGGGAACGCTAGCTTGGTGGTATGGCTCACATGGAGGACATGGGGAAGAGGTGCTGGACCATATACGGGGTTTGAGGATGCCACGATCAGTCTGTCTGACTCCTCTATCATCTGGTTCTGGGCTGGAGCAGAGCTGCTCACTGTATTTTGCATTGCATCAGTCTTTAAACCACGTTGGAGCCAAGCCTCCTGGATCCAAGCCTCCTGGATCCAAGTCTCCTGGATTTAAACATCTCTGAATATTGGAGGAAAGATCCTGGCTTAGTGCTGATCTCAATTACAGTTCCCAAAAGTGACAAGGCTTCTGCTGTTCTCCCCAGCAAGACTTCAGGGAAGGAGAGAGCATCAGTGTGATCCAAGTGTTCATCCCCTATCTGCTAGCGGTAAAATATCTGCTAGCTGTGAAAATACTAAGCAGCTCCTTTGGGTGGTGACAGCCTCTAGAGGCTTCCACAGTATTGCTGGATTCCTCTTTGGTTATTTGGTCAAGCCAAATAAATGCATGCTGACACCAAGTGGTTCACCGATGTTGCTTAGATGGACATCACCGTTTCCCTGCAGGTTCTCTGCAGGCTGAGAAACAATCGTAGCATGGTTTTTCCTCTCCTTATCGTTCAGTCCTGGGGCTTAACGCGCTGGCAGTGCTATTCAGGGCTGCAGGCAGTATTACCTGTCCTGTTATCCCAACTTACGACAAGGCTCCAACTCATCCCTGACGCAACTCACTGCAAATCTCTGCTAAAGAAAAAATGGAGTAAGAACTCCATAACCACATTTTATCCCATCAAATTTTTGCCATTTTTTCCTAGTCATTAATCATTTCCTGCCCATAGAGGAAGGGAAAAAATCAGAACGGGTCTAAAAGATGGGGCTGAGAAGATTGCAGGTGACTTCTCATTGCCACGTTGTATGTAGGGATGGGAATCCTCTTTCAAATAAGTTTTTCGGTTGACAGGTTGGTTTTGACAGAGTACTGGCCAATGCCATAGGCTTCGCTGGGCCTATCTTGTTTAGAAACGTGGGGCCAGCAATCCCAGCCCAGTTCAAGATCTGCAGGAGGCTCCTGTACCGTATAGTGACAGGCAGACACTCGCACAACTGTAGAAGGCTGTTTTCTGCGCTGTAAGTATTTACTGCAAGTGTATAAACAGCAATTTTCAGAATATTTGGAACAACGCTAAATTTCTAAGTCACTAAGTTCCTTAGTCATGCGTACTCCCATTTCTACAGACGGTTTTGAAAAACGGGATGAAGGGCCCTCTGTAAGATAAGATATAACGTGCTCCCTGGTTGGTGGCACTTGCCAGATGATCCTACCAGCGCCACCTGCTACGCATAGGGAGGATGCAGCAGGGTCTGCTTTATGGTCTGCCTCCGGTTCCTGGTGTACTGTGAATGCCCAGGGTGCTAACAGGTAGAGAAGGCAGTATGGAGATGAGATATTTAATCACTCCTAAATATTACAGCTGTAAAAATGGAATAAGAATGACTGTATATGCAGAAAAGTTAAACAGATGCCATCAGCACAAGCAGTGCATCTCCCAAAATACAGGTCATATAAGGAACCTGCACTAGAATAGAGGAAGCGCAGACAAAACTGGTTTTATTTTTTTAACTTTTAAAGTTGTCTCTGTTGTGCATTCATCAGCCAAATCCGTGCTGAGCGCCATTCAGCTTGCTGAACCTCCAAGAATCTTCACCTGCTAGCTAGGTGTTTTCCCTCTTGCTTGAGTGGAGTTTTTTAACATGCTAGCTGTGCAATGAAAAATTTAATAGAAAAAAAGGGGAAGATGCTGTTCAGAATGTGTTTTCTACACTTTAAGTACCAAAGAGACCATTGTGTTGCTGATCACTTGCCCAAGGTTGGCCATGTGGTTGCATCCAGTTGATTGACCTCAAGTGTCTTTTGCTTGGCTGAAGCGTTTTCCTCCAGGACATCTGATTTTATTTGCAGATACTGAGTTTGGTGGTATGATGAATAATCGAAGTGGAATGGTTAAGGAAAACCAGGGAACTGTACCTCGTTTCTGACCTGAATGTGTCTGCCTTTAATTTCCAGTGTTAGCTCTTGCTGTGCTTTTGCTCTTCCAGTTCAAACAACCTTTTGTAGCTGATATTTTCTCTTCATTCCAGGTATCTCCCAAGCCCATGCATCAGTTTAGTTTTTCCCGTACTCTAAGAAATCTCTCAACCACCTCTTTGAAACGTGACTGCCCGAGCTGCCTGCGGTCCTGTAGTTCAGGCTCAGGCGTGCTGCCTGTAGGGGAAAGCTGCCTTCATCCCCCTAATCCCTGCCTCCTCATCCCCGCCTTTATGCCACAGTCCAGCATCAGACATTCACCCTGGGACAGTCCCCATCCTTTTCAGATAATCTTTTCCTACGATACGCTTGCCCGTTCTGTACCTGCAACGGATGTTATTTGTCCCCAGGTGTTTGACTTTTCTCAAATATATAAATATATCTATAAAAAATACATATTTTTTCATATCTATATATTTTATATATACACACACGCTATATTTTTGCCTTTGTAAATCAAAGTCATTATTTCATCTGTGAGGGAAAGTCAATTGTTGAACTCGTTTCTGACCTGAATGTGTCTGCCTTTAATTTCCAGTGTTAGCTCTTGCTGTGCTTTTGCTCTTCCAGTTCAAACAACCTTTTGTAGCTGATATTTTCTCTTCATTCCAGGTATCTCCCAAGCCCATGCATCAGTTTAGTTTTTCCCGTACTCTAAGAAATCTCTCAACCACCTCTTTGAAACGTGACTGCCCGAGCTGCCTGCGGTCCTGTAGTTCAGGCTCAGGCGTGCTGCCTGTAGGGGAAAGCTGCCTTCATCCCCCTAATCCCTGCCTCCTCATCCCCGCCTTTATGCCACAGTCCAGCATCAGACATTCACCCTGGGACAGTCCCCATCCTTTTCAGATAATCTTTTCCTACGATACGCTTGCCCGTTCTGTACCTGCAACGGATGTTATTTGTCCCCAGGTGTTTGACTTTTCTCAAATATATAAATATATCTATAAAATACATATTTTTTCATATCTATATATTTTATATATACACACACGCTATATTTTTGCCTTTGTAAATCAAAGTCATTATTTCATCTGTGAGGGAAAGTCAATTGTTGAACACCTCTGATTTCCCATAAATCAGTTAGGGTGTTAATTTAATTAAGTGTTTCCATTCAGCTTGCTGGTTTTTGAGCCTGGTGCTTTAGCACATGCCATTTTTCTGGATTTTTTTCCCCCCATTTGCTGTAATTCCACCAAGATCTGTTGTTCTCTGACTTCTAGGCACTGATTACCTGGGTCTGCTGCTATCAAAGTTTCTGTCTAATATATGTTATTTAACAATATTTTGTCACTAATTGACCAAAAAATACATTATCATTCTTGAATAATAAGAATAGATCACCTCAATTGTTTATAAATGCAGAAGGATTATATTTATTGACCATTTTTTCTCCTTCCGTATCATTACAAACTCTCTGCATCCAGCTACTAATTATCTTTGGATTGGTTTTTTTCCTTTCTTGATACAAGAAAGTCCTTCAGCCGCCAGCTATGTGTTTGGTCTGTCAGTGCTTGGCTTCTCACCCCGATCTTTTTGCGTTTCAAATTGTATGTTTGTATTTATATTGCTTGCTGTTTGCTGTCTGAGATGTTTGTTTGTGCTTGTTCACCGACACCTTTCTCAGCAGGGGAACAGGAGCTCCCATGGAGACCAACAAATGAGCAGTCCTTCAAAGGGAACATTTTTCATTACATTTTTGTGTCCCCATTTTTTTTTTGTTCCACGTAGGCTGTGCTTGCGGTTTTGCTTGGTCTGGGCATTGAATCACCCAACGCTACTGCTCAGGACTGCCTTTCGTTTTCTCACTGCTGCTATTGCCAAAAGCATTTGAACACTGTGGCGGATAGTGCAGGTGGAGAGGACTGGGGAAAGCATTTAATTTTGTATTAATGGCTTTCCGCCCACGTGGGAGTGTTTTGGAGGCACAGCTTACTTGCTTCAGAGATCCTCTTTGTTTTCATGAGGGTCCTTTGCAGTAAGAACTAATCTTCCCCATGTGCCATAATAGAAAATTAACTTGGGTTCCAGCGAGGTTTCACTTGGTTTTGTTTTTGTTTTCTTCCTGCCACAGGCTTGGAAAAGGGAAATACGAGGACGGTGACGGCATCAACTTGAATGACATAGAGAAAGTCCTTCCAGTGTGGCAGGTAGGTGATGAGGACATCTCCTGCCCGCAGTACGGTGGAGACCAGCAGCTCCCTGCCTTACCTTTCCTTAGGAAACCCTCCCCAGAAGTGGGAAAGCCTGGGCTGGATGCGCTGAGCTATGGTCCTTTGAGGTTTGTGATGGAGAATTATGCCTGTGGTTTCAGCAAGCCTTGCTGTGGCAAGGCTGGGCAAGGGCAGTTACAGCGGAGACTTCGTTGGGAGGTGAAACGTTGAGGACAGTATATGTATACATACATATATACATATATATACACACACACACGTACATGGGCACAGGGCTCATATATTTTAGGAAAGGAGGTTCTGAAAAGCACCAAGCCTCCTGACAGCTCCAAAATAAATTGCTGCCAGGAAGCCAGAAGTGATGGTGTGCTGACCCAGATGTTTCCCCTATGGGGTGCGCTTACGTTTATATGCAATGGTCATCTACGTGTACGTTTTCTCCAGCCTGTTTCTTCTCCAGATCTCTCTCTACATCCCAGTTTTGGTAGTTCTGGTTAAATGACTTTATTTAACCATCCCCCTGATCATTTTCGTGGTCCTCTTCAGGACCCACTCCAACAGGTCCATGTCTTTCTTGTGCTGAGGGCTCCAGAGCTGGATGCAGTACTCAAAATTTTTCACCCTCCAGAGCCCTAGTCCTCAAAGGAGCTGAGTGTCCTGGGCTGGGCAAGTTTCTGAGGATGCTCAGCATGTTTTTGCTGAAGTCTCCTCTTTGCCTCCAGAGGGGAGGACAGAGACATCTCATGTGCTGCGGTAGTGTTACCCTTTTCAGTGCTGAGCAAAGAGCTCGCCGGGTTTCTTGCTCATGCATCACGTGAGGAAGAGCCTCGCTCATAGAATCATAGAATCATAGAATCGTTAATGTTGGAAGAGACCTCTAAGATCATCGAGTCCAACCGTCAACCCAACACCACCATGCCCACTAAACCATGTCCCTAAGCGCCTCATCTGCACGTCTTTTAAATACCTCCAGGGATG